GGGTGAGTATTATATATTTACGATTTATATTGTACATAGTTTTAAAATCTCATCATATAATCATTAACTAGTTGAAGTGTCAATATGTTAACTTGAAATCATAACTAAGTTGACGCCGTCGAAGGAGGACGAGAGCATAATGTTCTCGTTGCAAACCCTCCACATAGAGCCATCGCTATTGTATGTTCATATGGAAAACTCATCAACTGAAATCGACTATAATATTATGTGCACATTTCATGAAGAAGCGCAACTCATCCAGGGTACCACAACCAACTTTCTCACAACCTCTGTCGCCTTGAAGAGTTTATTCTCTTGAGCCGGGGTTAGCACACTTATGCAACTCTGTAATTCCGCATGTTGATCGTGAAACCACCGTCACAGTTTGTTACGAATGTTCTCAATCATTGCGAGAATTGTTTACTCTCGATTCTTCTTAAACAATGTATTGAGAGACTTCACGTTGTTCAATGTCATCATGTTGTATCAAAATCTTTAAAAATGTGGTTGCGCCCAATGTTTAATACCATTTTTGTTAGATAATCCCATACCGAAAGTGATTTACTTCTTTTTCGACCATGAACTTATTACACTTCTCAACATTATAAGTTTCGTCCACCATTCTGAACAATGAGACGATGCCTTTGCCCAGATACCTAGTCTTCAGATCACCTTGTACATGGTATATGCAATACCCATAATGTGCTTCAAGAAAAATTTCAACATTATCATTTATTATAGATGGTCCTCGATCAGTTACAAAGGCAAGGTCTTCGACTTCTCCGATTACTTTTCTTAGCTTTGTAAATAACCAACTCATTGACAGATCATTCTCGCTGTCGACTATGACGAATACAAGAAGGTAAATTTAGATATTGGTATCTTGATATGTAGCAATAACCAACTTCCCGTGGTATCTAGCTTTTAGAGTTGTACTATTGACTATAATTACAGGTCACATTTCGAAATTCGTGAATGCATTGTCCAAAAGCCATCGAGAAAAAGTTAAAGCAATTCTCGCCCTCAATCTCATTAAAAAATGTCGAGCTAGGAATAGTTGTCCCCATGTTGTGGCTGTACATGGGAAATTTAGCATTGTTCTTCTCGATCAGTCCCATTAAGTCCTCCAACGTGTATTCTTTGGTCTTTCAGACCTTTTGGTAGTTCATGACCACTATGTATTCTCGAAGAATGTCATTAATAATGTCCGAGGTTTATAGATCGTTGGTGGATCCTGATACTTGTACATTATTTGTTAATTAATAAACCATGTTTGAGCTTGCCTATGATTTTTTCAACAAATTCACACTTCACAAGTATATTCTCATGTATACTTGTAAACTACAAATAACTCATTCATATATATCTTAGTCGCTCGCAAACGTCAACGAAAACTGTCGTTGACATAGACAATTGTCAAAAATGACTTGTTTGATTTCATTACCTTGAATTCAAAGTTATATTTTAATGTCATTCGGTGCATAAATTTCTATAAATCTTTCTTTGTTTCAAGTAGTTGCTCGACATATAAATTCTCATCATCAAAAACCACAAGCAAAGAATTAGAGAACGATTTACTCGATCCAGCCCCTGAGCTCATGTCTCTGACGGCATGAAGTAATCAAATTCTCATTTGTAAATTCAATTTTTTCTCGTTATCGTGAGTTGCCAATGGAATTTTGTGCGTAACGACGAGATCACAATAAAGAACAATTATCTTGAGAATAACCACATCATCCTTACGAGCTATCTCCATTGTGTATCAAAAATCATTGGCACTGTCATCCGCTCCATTCGAATCTTCATGTTTACTTTCGATGACATCATTCCTCACTAAAGTCAAGTAAAGGGAAGTCATGTGCATTTTGTTTGATTCAAATAGATAATTTATTTTAGCATCATAAGTAATCGCTATAGGTGGAATCTGACTGGATTAATGCTCGTTGAATTGAAATCTCAGTTCCACATTTTATTGAAAGGAATCGACATTCAGCTTATTTTGTAAATTATGGTACATTCCCATATATGATGTATTCTCTGTTATGAAAAATGAAATATCATCACGTATATCACTCGTCAAATTTCATACCCATCGATCCTTTTCATCCAATTTGAAATCATCAAATTAACAAATCGAGATTATAACCATATTTTTATGACGAAATATAATTTTTAATTATAAGAAAAAATAGTGTAAAATTAAGTTCAACCACTGGGCAACATAAATTTCTTTAATTTTTTTTACACTTGGCTGTTAGCTATTACTCTCGGTCTGAAAGAATTCATACATGTAGAGTGAACAACCAAAGATAGGACTTGGAAATAGATTTATTTATTATTATTATTTTTTATCTTTGTTTGATTGAACATATAAGAAAAGTTAGCTGATTTTCAAATTTAAAGTGGAAAGTATTTGATTTTCACTTGTTAACTAAAAAGATAGTATTGTCTTTTAAACAAAATAATATTTTATAATTATATAATATACTTAGCATCTTTGTCTTTTACCATCTAAAAGTGCATTGTGAAAATATGAAATTGTTGAAAATTGGACTTCTCAAAAAAATTGCGAAACTGCAAACCGAACTGAAATGGTGGTTTGAAACCTTTGGTTTGGTCCACGTGGACCGAAGATTTTTTTCTTTCAAACCGACTCAAATCGTATTAAAATGGTTTAGTTTAAGTTTCAAATTTCAAAAACCGTACAAAACCAAACCTAACTGCACTTTTTTAATTAAATCTTTTTTTACGAATTATAAATTCTCATATTTAAATTTTATTAAAGTGTAGTTTTTTTAGAATTTATTTATTTATTTATTTTTGCTTTGGACTTTTTTTTTGTTTTTGTTTTGTTTTTTCTTTGTGGAAATTACATATTCTATAATAGATTAAAAATTCACATTTCATAAATAAGATGGCATGTTTAGTATTTCACAAATCAGAAATTTTTAATTAATTAATATATTTAAAATTTAATATTAAATTATAATTATAATTATAATACAAAATTATCCAACCCTAATTTATTTTCATTTCCCCCCCTCTCTCTCTACAGTCGCCAAATCATTCTCTCCACTCCCACCACCACTCGTCTCTGCCATCAGATCGTCGCCGCAGGGATGCTCCTGCAGAAACTCCTCTTGTGTGAGCCTCGCGACGGCGAGTAGCAGCGCACGATGTGAAGTGACATCATCGCTGCTGTGCCGTCACAGCTCGCGATGGGAACGTCGAGAACAGATTCAGCCAGGTCGGTGATGGTTGTTGCTCTACAGTTGGTTGGTGTAGGTTGTGGTTGATCTGGTGGCAACATTGTATGGTGGTTGGTTGGGCAAGTGGCTATCAACGATTTGAATAATATTGGAGCGACAGTCGACGAGGTGTGTTGATGAGGATGACAGATCTGTCGGCGAGGTGTGTTAATGGGATTGTTGATGAGGATAACAGATCTGTGTAGTAGTGGGTGCCGGCGAGATGCAGAATGTTGGCGGTGGAATGGGGTGACCGATGGGGAGTTCCTGATTGGTTGGGTGTCGGTGTATATGGTTTTACAAATGGTAGTGTGATGGTGGTGCAAATGGTAGTAGTGGTGGCGGTAATGGTGACAGTGATGGTGTGTGGCGGTGATCTGGTGTTTGTGTGGCAGCGATTTGGTGGAGGTGTTTCTATGGAAAAGCAATGGATATGGAAGAGTGTGGTGTTGATGTGTGGCGAGGACAGTGGTGGCGATGATTTTGGGTAGTTGTGGACCGTGACTGTGACTCCCAACTGTGGTGTTGGTGTGTGGCGACGATCATGGTGGCAATGAAAATTGTTATTGTGATCGTGACTCTCAATTGTGACTCACAATTGGATACATGATCCGAAAATTGTGACTGTGACTCATAATTGTGACTCACAATTGGATACGTGACCTAAAAATTGTGACTGTGAATCGTAAGTGTTAGTGGTAGTCACAAATTATTTAGTTGACTGTGACCAATAAATAATCTGTGACCAATGAAAAAAATATATTGTGATCGAAAAATAATGTGTGACCTAAAAAATTGTTAATCTGTGACCGATAATTTGATAATTTGTGACTGTGTAATAAGTTGTAACTTGTAATATATGTGATTTGTGATCAATAAATAAATCGTGACTTAAAAAAATTTCGATTTGTGATCGATAAACAAACTGTGACCTATAAAAATTTTAAATTGTGACCATAAAATAATTTGTAATATAAAATTTTTGATTTGTGACCAAAAAATAATAAGTGACGAATTAAATCGTTAATTTGTGACCAAATTATATAAATCTGTGACTTAAATATATGTAATTACAAAATTAATTAATTAAATTATAAATATTTTTTAATAAAAATCTGATTTTTGAAATTTGAAACTTATTTTCTTGTTTTGGAAATGTGCCATAATTAATCTCTTATGAAAATTTCCCTTTTTCTTTTCTAAAGTGGCCCATTAGCATTAAGAATATCTAATAGCCCATATAGCAATGCCCATTAAGCACCTATTGCACTCAGCCACACACTATTAGCAAACCATTGCAAACAAAACCCTATTTTCATTGTGCGCTGTCGGACTTGCTGTCGCCTGATGCCCGCCGACCTATTTTCAACCTTCGCCCTCTGATATGGACTCCAACTAGCTAATTAATTGTGCCAGACATTTACATATGTTTGGACCCTAGAGTCATTACTGCTATTTCTAATGACAGATTTACGAAGGGGACAGATTTAGGAGTAGGAATGCGTGGTTTGGTGGAGGAGAAATTTTCCACATAAAAAAGTTAATGTGGAAAATATGGAGTTTGGCTTGGTCATTTTTAAAAGTACCCTATCAAAATTACTAGTGAAATACATTTGAGTAATTTAATTTAATTTTATTTCAATCACTTCACACAAATTCTAACTTTTCTTACAATGAGGTCCTATTTGGAAACTGTTACTCTGTTAGTCATAGCCGTTATAAAGACAATAATAACTACGAATAAAATTAACTTATTTTACATTGATTTTACAGTTGGTCCTACGAAACTTCCCAAGTCCAGGAGAAGACTTTACTGGCAATCACCTGTTTCCTCTGTTGTGTGTGACCAATAAATTCTTGGATTCTCTCGAAAACTGAGGAAAAGAAGAGAGAACATGGGTTCAAGCAGCAGTTTGATGGTTTCCCCATCGTCGTCGTCATCAGGAAAATCTTCTGGGTTTGGTGTGTCCAGGCTTAAACGCACCAAGCGCAGGCTTTCCTTTCTAGTTTGTGGTGCAGCCTCCACTTCGCGGTCAAATCTTGAGGTAGGATATATGAATGATCCATAAGGTGTTTGTAGAAAGGTCTTATGAAAATGTAAATTTAATATGTTCTTGTAATGACGATGATCGTGAATTTTGGTGTCCAAGAAAATCTGCTGAGTGAATTGATTTGACTTTTTATCAGTCTGTTTCATATTTTTTATTGAATGATTCAGAGTGATCGAATTCCCCTGAAATTCTGTTGTCATCAACTAGGAAGTGATTTTAGTTTATGGCACAAAAGTTATAACTCTAAAGTGAAACAGTGATTCTCTTTCATCTCAGGAGTTTATTTTTATAGGGATCACCTTTGAATTTGATTTCTTTTATGGGACTTAGAACTTCTGACTTGATAATATGCAAAAAAGTGTATTTCAAGTTGCAATTAGAAAATAACATAATGTTTGGCAACATTGAATTGATCCGTTGGAATTAGAATTTGTGTTCAATTATGGGGAGTTGTCGTGACATTGGTACCCACGATTTGTGCATGAACTGATGAACATTACGATAAACAAGTTATTTATGGATATTATTAGGAGGGCCATGCAGATCCAGTTGATGCTTTGATAGAATAATACTGAATGAAATGATTTTCAATATCGATTTATTAGTAAAAAACCTTCTCAATTCGTCTCTGACCATCATATGAAATGTAAATAACCCGTTCTCTCTTTGAAAGTTTGGAAGAAGGGGCGCTTATGAAGAATTGTAAATCTATGTAACGATTGGATTGAGGCAAGGGTGTCTTCGAATTTTTAATAAAGAAAGAGTTTCTTACAAATTATCGAAAGATTCGTTAGAATGCGACCCGACAGGAATTTTTAGTGAAAATGGGATTTTCGGGAGATAGAGAAAGATAAATAGTTGGGTTCAGGCAAAAAACTCGTTCAGAAGAAATAAGAAGGATAGAAGAGTCTCTCTAAGGGGAAAGCATAGACAATTCTAAACATGAAGCCTATTGCCCTGTACACAAGTATTATATAGTATAAATTCAACTCCCTTCCCCTCTATTTACAAATACTGTTTGAAATGCAGCAGTGCACAAAACATAACCAGCAGAATCCAAATAGATTCTCTGGCGAGAAAGAAGTTAAAATGAACAAATTGCTTCATTTTCCTCTTTCCATGCTGCGCAAGGCGCAAGGCTGTGATTGAGATAAACTCTTGCAATATGAATTTTTTAATCCCTTTACAATTTTAAGAACTTGAGATAGTTTTGAATGTGCATATTGTTTGTTTATGAATTTGTAAATTAAACTCAAGTGAAAGTAGAGTTGCGCCTGTATCACTGCTTATTTCTTTCAGTTATGTCAATGGTTAACTTATTTAGACTTAATATTAACTAAATATGTGGAAGTATTTGTATGTCTTATTTATAAAATATATTAGTGATAAGGAATTAGTTGACCATTAAGATGCTCTATTTTGACTGATTCGCTGAGGCCCATAGTTAAAAGTCATGTTATTATGTACTGAAATTATGGTTGTTAGAAACATTTTACAGAAAACAGAATTAGGATATCTTCAATATGAATAAAAAGAAGCATTAAACAAAACTTATTGCAATTCTTTTTCTCTTAATGTGTTCATGAAAGCAATTTAAGAGTACTAGTTCTTCTAAAAGTTTGTATCTATATAATTGAATGATCTAACTAATTATTATTCATCTTTCTTCAAGAGTTTCCTAAAATTTGGTTATGTTGATGCTATTACATTTTTTATTTGTACTTCACCTACAATGTTTATTAAAGAATAAAAAAAATCTTTCACTTCATAGTTCTATTTGAGATGATCATTGACATGTTATAATACTCTACCTTGAAGCTAGAAGACTATTCTCAGGAATCATCAGCAAGTTCTACAAAAAATTTAGCTCCAATTAGTGATTTTTCGCATAACTCCATCATAGAATCTTCTTCAATGTTCAGTTCAGAAGTTGGGGATTCAAGTTCCATAATTGAGACCGGTTCCTCATCTGGAAGTGATAACAGTATTATTGAGGAAGCTTTGGTTGAACAGTCAAATGTAAAAGCAAGCAGAGATCTGGCACACGTCTTAAATAATATGGAGCCAGTTTCTCATCAGGTAAGTTTTCATTTCAATAGCAAGGATTTATAATGGAATAGGAATCATGATATTGTGAGTAATTTTTGTAACAGACGGGTAATGATCCATCACGCAGTCTTGTGTATGCGAATTCACATTCAGATTCAGGTGTTGAATATCACCAGAATTCAGTTGTTGCCGATAATAACACAAATTTAAGGTCACGTTCTATTGCTTCTGATTCTTTACTCCCACTTCAATTGCCTGGGGATGAAAGTGCTCACATGACAACAACTTCTAGTCCAGGATTTTTTGTTTCTAACAATGCTCAGGATATGAGAAGTGGCTATCTTCTTCATCTCAACGTGGTGAATATCTCCTCTAACTTTTTCTCCAGTAGAATTCCAGAAAGAAATAACTTCGAAGCAAGAAGAAATGGTAGGAGGCTATTTTGGGATGCTTTATCAAGACGGAGAGATTCCCCAACCATGGTATTTGCCACTGGTCATGCTGATGAACTAGGTTCCCATGACAGATGGCTCCTAGATATTGGTGGTATCCATAATGATGAAGTTGGTCATGATATGGATTCCTTGAGTGCTAGACGTCGTCGCAGAAATGAAAGAATATGGTTAATGAGATCGGAGGTGAGATATGATATGCCTTTTAAGTTCTAATGTCAGAAAATTTAAACAAGATTTTGTTATATTTTCTGTTTGGAAATTTAGTTTTCCTGATTCTTTCCTAACCTGTTGTAGCTAAGATTCCCTAGTCATGCCTAATTAAATTTGGAACCATTCAAATTAATTTCACCATAAGATGTGAGGAAAAAACTACACCTGCAAGAAAGACGATCAAATGAAAAATTAAGTACATAAGTAAGAGCCCTTTTGATAAAATTAAGCATGGAAAAGTTCTTTTGATATTATTCAACACGTAATATTTTACATAAAGAATTCAACACGTAAAATATTTTACTTTTTATATTCATTTAGATGTATTATTATTCAATACGTAAAATCTACATAAAGATGCAAGTCTCCAGGTTGAGATTGGAGAAATATGTAAAAATAATTGACCGAGAGAAATTGCTTCTACTTCTAGAAATTTATATCTAACATCATGTTATTTAAACCCATTGCTAATAACACAAGTAAGGTTCAAACTTGGGATGCTAACATAAAAAATAATATAATTATACGTATTGAAATAGTACATCATCATCTATTTATCTTATGAATATAAAGAATTCTCATTCTGACTTTTTTATCATGCACGTACTCAGTACATCTATTTAGTCTTATTCAAAAGTCCAAAAATGGAGATCTCGATTTGTCTGCATAGGTAAGTATGGGGAAAAAAAAAAAAAAAAGAGTTGTGTCTGCACAATACATGCGGCTGACCCATTCAGCATTTGAGAATATATAGTGTTATATTCATCTCTAATCCAAATAATTTATCATTGCATCTAAAACTGTCATTTCGATAGCCACTGTGCTTGTACCCATTATATTCCACAGCTTTGATGCTCAGACTCTTCAAAATGGTCGGAGTACTCGTGTCGGACACGCCACGACACAGGTATGAGTGTGGGATATGTTTTGGATCCTCTAAGTTTCAATCTGACAGTTCGTCGTTTTTGCTTCTTCTTTCTTCTTTCTTTTTTTTCTTTTCCTTTTCTTTCTCGTTTCTACTCTTTATAAACCTAACACTGCCTTCAAGAGTTTGGAGAAAGGCGGGCGCTAGGTCTTCTTCTTTCCCTTTTCTTCTTTTTTTCCTCTTTGTATTGGTGGTTTAGGGTTTTGTGAGTATAAAATGAAAATGAGTTCCATGTGGTGTTACTTAGTGTTTCACTAAGTCCAAATTGTAATCAAGTCCCTCATTTTCTATTTTATATAACATTAAGTAATTAACTTCCCATAATTGAAAATTAAACCCTAAAATTCTGTTTTATTAGTTTAACCCCCTATTCAATACTCATTTTCCTTTTTGTGAACAATTTTTTTGGCCTATTCAAAATGATATTGTGTATTAGTAAAAAAATTGAAGCTTGAAAGACGTATTCAAATATTCGTGTCCAAAATTTGGACTTTTTTTTAGCCATGTTTCTGTATCCTACATTTAAAAAAAATAAAAGATCCGACATTTAGATACGTACCACTACCCGATCCTCGTACTCGAGTCCAGCATGACAGTTCCAAAGCATTAGTTCATGCAACTTTGAAACATTCAATTACATTCTGCCACACGTGTATCAAACTTGTCAAATTAAATGTGATAATTTGATGAGCACTATCTGTATGATACCTTCCAACTGCAAGCTTTGGAATTTTTTTTTTGTTCAATAAAAAGTTATGCAAGAGCTTAACCTGGTGTTCTTGTGAATTCATACGTGCATATATGGTTTGCATATCAAAGAAACATATTGTGGACATTTATACATATGTTTTGAACTATATATGTAATTGCCAACTATATGTCCATCTCTGTCCATCTCACAAGCGGTTTCCTTTTTTCTTGAGTGAGATAAATAGCAGCTGCAAACACTTGTTTACTCATGTTTCATGAAAATTTCTTGTCAACTTTTGTTTCATCATCTATTAGTTTGATTCCTTACCCAATTTTTATACATGCAGATCTCAGAAAGAATGATAGGTGGCCTTAATGAGGGAGCCCGACAAACTACATTTTGTGCATCTGGGCAACACCATGAGGGTACATGTTTATGCGATTCAAATTTTTTATCTGAAGAATCCGGCACCCTTCTAAGCATCTCTCGAATTATCATGCTTGCTGAGGCATTATATGAGGTAGATACTTGAGACTCACTGTTTTTACACTATATTAGGTTATACTTAGTTGTAAGTGCTATTGAAGTGACATTATGATAACATACCAACTCTCTGTGGGGTGTGTTTGCGTTCCTTTCCCTCAAATTGAATAAGTTCAACCAGCTTGCTTTCCAATCTATCATATTTGTGGAAATCTTGGCTTCCTACCAAATTATGTATAGCATCTAAGAGCTTTTTTGGGAGAGATTTTTTTTGAAAATCATTTTTCCCCAAAATCATTTTCAACCATGCATTCTACGGGGCCCAAAACTTTTCCCTACTTATTAACCTCATACTCTCCAAAATGAATTGTTTTTCACTTGGAAAAGTCTCTCCCATACAAGCTCTAATAATTGAGCTTTTTGGAAAAATGTAGGAGACAGATGTCTTTATATGAGCTTTGTAGAATGGACACTTCAACTAGAGTAGCGTGTCCGTTTCCGATGCATGTTTGACACCAACACTGCTCGGACATTGTACTATGATTATTTTTCTTTTTTATTAATATTATACATTTTTACCTAAAGTTATTAGTAAATAACAAATAGATATTCATATTTGAAAGATTTCAACTAGAAATATTAATAACGAGTATAAAACTAAATGTATACAATATAGATGAAGGTATTAAAGAATTTAATCAATGTGTTAGTGACATGTCGTGTCGATTCTATTTAGAAAATCGCGTGTCGACATATTCGACACATACCGTGTCAGATACACGTGTCTGTATTGGTGCATCATAGTAAATGAGTTATTTGTAGGCAGTGTGAGCCACTATTGCATTCAAATTCACAAGTTTCTGAACTTTTGAGATATACTTTTCAAGAAAACAAATGAGAAGGTTGTGACTAGTTCCATAGTTCTTTTTTGGAGATCACAACCAAATTTAGAAGGTTGTGGAACTTTCCAAGATGAAATTTCATCAAGGGTGTACTTGTTAAATGCCATTGAAATTTCTGGATGAGTGTAATCAACTAAACTGATGGGATAAAATAGTATGCATAAGCATAATCTAGTTAACTCCAACATTATTAAGGGGGAAATTTTTTAGAGCTTCGTGGAATTTTGAAATGCAATGGTAGAAGGAAAGTGAGTTGAGCGAGTGTACCTTAGGAATTTCCAACAGCACAAGTGGCCTAAGATCCATAACAATGATATTGTTGCTCTATGGCTACCACCTGTTTGATGCTTCCTCAAATTTTCCTGGATGGTTGTTCACATAGTCGAATACTAAAAAAATGGAGCAGTAGAAATTTCTGCTGGGCCGCTAGAAGATTTCTTTTAATTTCCGCATCTGGTTTTTTCTGGCATAAGCTTATCAAATTATATTATTATGGTCTCCTAATTGGTTTTGGATATCATATGCTGTTCTTTCACCAGTTGGGGGGACCATGACTTCTTCCCCAACTCTAAATAGAAAATGTAACCTAGTACTTTCTGAACCTGTTTATGACCGTTCTCTGGCTTGTTTGCTACTTATCTTTGAAATGCTTTTTCTAGTGGATTGTACTATCCTAGTGAGCTAGGGATTTATGAGCTTCAGTCTTACAATATCACGAATCTGTTAAAGCTATTGTTTATGCTAGTTGCAGAAAATGAAAGAATTTCTTTGGATAATTAAGCATATGCCAACTTCTTCTTTCTTCCTTGTCAAAATGTATTGAGTTATTTTTCATACAAGGTTTTAGAAAATTAGCTAAAAGATTACTTGATGTCTGATATATAGGTTTTGGATGATATTCAGCGCCAGTCCATGTCTCTTTCACCATCAATGCTCTCTCCTGCTCCTGAGTCTGTTGTGGATACATTTCCTCTCGAGCATTACAAAAAACTAAAAGCCATTGAAAGTGATACAAGTGATATTCAACAGTAAGTCTTCTACTTGAGTTTTTATTTATTTATTTTCAAGGTCCATGTTTGGTTTTTCCCTCTGGTATTCTATTATTAAGATGTTCATCTCATTAAGTGAAGGAACAGAGGAAAGAAAAATAGAAATGTGAAAAGAAGTAACATAATGAACTAATTTCAAATGAATTTGACTAAGAGTTGCATTATTGGTCCTTTAGGGGAACATGCGATTCAAACCCGAAGTTTCTGTACAAATTGAGTAAGCCAATGGCATTTCCTTTTGTTAACTTTGGTCCAATGCCTCATATGAATAAGTTATATTTGTCAAGTAAAAGTGCTGTACATTGTAATCTTACTAATTTGCAAAGTCGTTCTATGTACTTATATATAGTTATGTTTTTAAAAGGTGCTATATTTGTTTGGCTGACTACGAAGAAGGGGACAAGTTGAGAGTTCTTCCATGCAATCACAAGTACCATGTTGCTTGCATTGACAAATGGCTTAAAGAAATCAATCGGTACTTTAAGAATTTTGTCTCTCTCTTTCTCCTTTTCTTGTTCTAATATGATATTGCTTTTCTGAGTTTTTTGCTATGCTTCAACAGGGTATGTCCACTCTGCAGATGCAATGTTTGTGAGGACGCTGGGGAATGTTCAGCATCGGACACTGAAGTGCCATCACAGTAATGCAGCTGTAAGTACATAGACAATGTTGTAACTTGAGATTTGATCTGAATTTCGTCAACTTTTTATATGATATATGATATGTCATAAATGTATATAATTCTTCTAACTTTTGTATCTTTTATTTCAGAAATTGGGTTTACGGCTGAATAAAATGATGTTGTTGCAAGTTTAGCATTTTTTGGCGTGTTGATATTACCTTGTAACAACATTATCTAGGGATATTGTTGCTGAATGCAACATGACCTACCTTGATTTACACCTCTACTGCCACGTAGAAGAAGGTTTCATATTGATTTTCGATTAAGATCAAACTTATGAATATTGTATCTTCTTAATTTAACATAAATAACTCTCAAAACAAATAACTTATTATGAACTTTAAACAATAAAGAAAGTTATTTTATTTCAAAATACACTACTTGCATTATTCTCCTCTTAAGACGGTCATTCTCTATCAGCAATGAGTGGAAAATTGAAATCGTAAATTGTTACACTGCTTGTACTATTCCCCTCTTAAGACGGTCATTCTCTATCAGCAATGAGTGGAAAATTGAAATCGTAAATTGTTACACTGCTTGTACTATTCCCCTCTTAAGACGGTCATTCTCTATCACCAATGATGTTGTTGCAAGTTTAGCATTGTTTGGCGTGTTGATATTACCGTGTAACAACATTATCTAGGGATATTGTTGCTGAATGCAACATGACCTACCTTGATTTACACCTCTACTGCCACGTAGAAGAAAGTTTCATATTGATTTTCGATTAAGATCAAACTTATGAATATTGTATCTTCTTAATTTAACATAAATAACTCTCAAAACAAATAACTTATTATGAACTTTAAACAATAAAGAAAGTTATTTTATTTCAAAATAGACTACACTATTCCCCTCTTAAGATGGTCATTCTCTATTGAAATTGTAAATTGTTATACTGCTTGTACCATTACCCTCATAAGACAGTTACTCTCTATCAGAAAGTTGTGTATTTCAACTTGCTCCATTCCCCTCTTAAGATTGTCATTCTCTATCAGAAAGGAGTGGAAAATTGAAATTGTAAATTGTTGCACAAATTTAAATTTTATGAGTATAGTTCTATAGAAGAACTAGCTAACAGTCGGAGATGCATGGGTCAATCTCTAATCTTTTATTTATGTTATTTTGAATACAAACGAAACGAAATTTTCAACTGAAATAACCCATGTTTCTCAAAGGTATAGTATGAAAAGACTTTCATAGCAAGTCATTCTTCTTTATGTTATTGAGACGATGCTTTGTCCGACTCGCAGTACCTAAGTCGATTATTAAATTTTATTTCTATTTTTGCATTCTTGTGTTGATCGAGTCATGCATCACTTAGGAGCACCAATATTATTTTTCAAAATGTTATGAGTGTATCCTAGAGACGATAATGAAGTTATACATCTTAACTTATTATGAGTTAAAAGTATTTGTGACCATTGATCTTTTGGCGAAATTTCAATTGAATTTGCTATACATTATTTTTGCTTCAATTAAGTCAAAATTTCCAAGCCAAGAAGGAAATATACTTTAAAAACTACTTTAGTTTTTATTAAAGAGTGAGTTATCAGTGTTTGAAACAAATTTCAAGTTAGACTACTTTGATGGAATATAAAATTTTTGCACCAAAAAATCGTGCAAATCCTCTCCAACCTAGCAACATACTTTGCATCATTTTGGTACAAATGAATGGTAAATGGTGCAAAGTGATTTTGTACCATTTTGCCCTTATTTTTGGTATTGAACAAAATTTTCTTCCCTTTGCGTCCTTTTTTTGTTATGCAACAAAATTTAATTCTTAATGTAATTGTATTATTATTATTATTATTATTATTATTATTATTATTATTATTATTATTATGCATTTGTAATAATTTGTAATCATGTAATCAATAATAAAATGCAATACCCATCAGCCAACAAGCCGAGCTTGGGCCTCTGCTCGCGGCTCATTATAATTTTTTTCTTTTTCTTTTTATAATAGATAAAATATAAACCCTCATTCTTTGTCCGGATTTCAGTAGGTATTTTAGCATTTGTTAATTCATTTATCATATTTGTACTTTCATCGAGAGATAGAAAAGTTACATAAGGGAAATTAATTTGATTACTTTTGAGAGAAGCTTTCAATTAAATTGGAAACATTGATCAACATGAATGATTTCAAATTGTCACTTTAATTATTACACTAAAAATGGAATAATAAGAGGATTCGACATCTTAGCAATGCATCTCACATACTTGAAAAACACATTTACTTGTTTTCGCTCGTTTTATATTTTATGAATCAATATAGAAAAATCCAAACGACTTGTTTGCCATTCGGTTAAAGTTACAATTAACTTTAACTCTGTCAAACACATAGTCCTTATCGATTCAACATTCTATTTACTACTTTATTACTTGTTCACGATTCCATTCACTTACAGGAAATCAAAAGGTCAAGGTACGACAGGAGATAGAGATATACTGCAGCGACTTTCATAATTTAAATGGATGTTTCATGTTTATTTTTATTGAGATATAAGAAGATCACATGTGATGATATGTTTAGTTTTGTTTGAGAGAAATTATTGAACAAAATAGAAATATTAATCAACAGTTATAAACAAATGTTGGCAAGATTGTGAGATGCATTAAAATTAATTAATAAACGGGATTCAAAGTCTTAGTACATATTTTTAATCAATTTCACAAAAATCTACTTAGTTTATAATTATATTTGTTTAGATCATTAGTGTTTTTTTCTTTCTTTCTTTCTTTCTTTTTTAAGCAACAATACAACTTGGCTATTTTACTAAAGTTAGCATTAATTAGAACTAAATTAAGTATGTAATCCTCGAGGGAACGATACTTTATTATCTATTTTATTACTTGACTATGATCTGTACACTTGCAAAATTTCATTAATCGTGTGTGTTACTTATCCTTTTTTCAACTTATGTTACTTGAATCAAGTTAGGCAATTCAATCTACAAAGCACGACCTTCGAATCAATATTGCACCCATTCATCGATGCAATCAGATAGATCCCGATGTACGCAAAGTTCATAAATGACATGATATCTAAGAAAAGAAAACTTCTAGACTGGGAGAAGTGACATTGATTGAGGATAGCAAAGCAAGGCTACAAAATAAATTGCCACCAAAACCCAAGGACCCAGGGAGTTTCACTTTTCCTATTTCATCAGGTAAAGGATTTCATTTTAATGCCTTTGTTTACTTTCAGGAAAACTAGGAGTTGGAAAGGTCCAATGATCAAATGTGAAGCTGCAACTTGCAAATAAGAGCATTAGATGCCCATGGGGCAAGGTTAAGGAGTTGGAAAGGTCCAATGATCAAATGTGAAGCTGCAACTTGCAAATAAGAGCATTAGATGCCCATGGGGCAAGGTTAAGGATGCGCTTACGAAGGTTGGAAAGATGATATTCCCTGCGGACTTCCTTGTTAGCAACAATTGAACCTCGATTGACATGGAGAAGATTGAGTTGACTGTGAGAGTAGAGGGCACATGATATCTTTAAATTATATAATCCACATAAGCAACCATCAGTCCTCAAGGAGGCCAAATATGTTGTTGAAGTAGTTCAACAAGGGTCAAAGGAGACAAAAACTAAATGTCCAAGGAGCCTTGCTTGGGAGAAGAATGGAGAGCTCAAGATTTAGAGAGAAAAAATAGAATGTAAAGTTCGAAATTTTAATGTGTGTAAGGCTGCGAGACTCCTGCATGAACCACCACGATCAATTCCTCCATACAGTCCAGCTATAGACCACAAATTAAGAGTTTGCCGGAATGTTTGGTTTCAATATATGGGTTATCACATCTACACTTAGCCTAGATAAAGGAATAATTTATTTTAGGCAAAAATTTTAAAAATCATGTGACACACATTTCAAGGTTCTAGGGGCGTAAAAATCTGGTTATCACACACGCCACATTTTCCACTACCTTTTGAGTTTTACAATTATTTTCTTTCACCCATGACAGGTACTTAGATATCAAGTGTAAGGAGCTTAGCATTTTAATGAATGAAATGCATTGTTTCAATAAGTTGCTTTAAAAATATCAGACATAAAATTTGGGGAGTACCATTTTCCTTCTCTTCCCCTTTCCTTTACATGCTTACTTATATTTTAGTACATTGAATTTTTACTTTATATATGCTGTGTTTTTATTGCTTTATACATGAGAAAAAAAAAATACAAAAAATCAAAAAATATGAAAATTTTCAAAAAAATAATTTCTTTCTAATTTGTTTGCTTTGTGGGTTAGGTAGTCGGGCCGACAATGAGGAATATATTTGAGATTATGTATTATTTATGAACCGTCAATAGGTTACGTGCTTAGATCGATTGTTACTTATCCATGTAAGAATCGATATTAAAACTGTACGTGAATTAAGTTAGACACTGAGAATAAATGAGTTGATTTATATGCTTGATAGGTTGATTTAGTTGAGCATAGATCCTATACCCAAACCATACTAATTTTTTTTATCCATATGACCAAATTTAGCATAATTTAGGGATGATTTTACTATTATAGGAAGATACGAATGTGAATGGGGATTCCTTGTGTGAAAAAAAAATGTGGATTGTCTTAGATTAACGGGACAAAATTGGGCGAAAGTTTTAAATTGGAGGTTGGTTTGCTTGAATATATTTTTGATAAAGAACATTACACTAATCAAAGCATAAATTTTTTGAAATTTGAAACTTCTCTGTGAAACCTTTAAGACTTGAGTGATTAGGCCTATAAGGGTATTTAAAAATTTGGTGCCTTAAAATCATTTGTCTTGGAATTCAATTAGAGATGGAGTAACACTTGGAAACAAAAAAGTAGTTCTTTTCGAAACCCTTTTTTTACTCAGGTTATTAAGATTGTAAAGGTGTTTGAAACATAATACCCTAAAATCATCTGATTTGAGACTTATTGATCTAAAGTTTGCTACATACGTCATTTAGAAAATAAAAGGAGAGAATGCAAGACAAAAAAACTTTTGAAAATCAGAAAAGTAAAAGCATTAAATATGTTGGCTAAGTCTCACACACTTGTTTGAAGGAATTTGATTTTTGATGAAAGACGATTAGCCTAGTTGAGTATTGGAGATCAAAGCAATCAAATAAATGGAGAATCATAGTTTAATAATGTGTTGATTTGCAATTAGTAGAGTCCACTTGAACTAGAGAGGGTGGAAATAGTATTAAAAACTCAACTTTAAATTGCACACTGAAAAAAGAGTAAAAATAATATGTTTGGTGGTGTGTGAATTATACAAGAGGTTAAATGACATATTTGACCATTGAGGGTCGAGAATTGAAACATTTTGTAAATTCATGATTGTCTACTTAATTCTCCTAGTTTACAGAGTGGATATTGATTTTCTA